ATTTATAAAACCTAAAAAATGTCTAACCTTCTAGTTAGAGCTTTTATTTTTGTACTTCTTTTAGAAGTACAAAATTCTATGCTATGACATATTAATTTGCTATGGGTTGAATGTTTTAAATTCCAAGAGATATGGCTTCCAAAGGCACTCACATAAGCAGGCAGAAAGGACAGAGTTATTGAATCCCAACAGTTATTTAAGTCAAATGGAGCATATGCAATCACAGCTTCAATTATGGTTCTGAACCAATGAAAAGGTTGAGTTTCAAAACTATGAGGTTTGGGTATCAGACTCATTTTCATAGAAACCCTGATATAAATGACACATAAATTCCCAATCCACTCCATCAGGCCAATTTAATGGGTGTGATTGCTGGAAGGGTAACCCCAAATCTGAAGTTGGGGACTTGTCTCATTGATGACGACTGTACTTGAAGGGTTGCTTGTGGTGTTGTGTGAGTGGTCTTTGTGGTCCTCATGTCCTGAGGCTGAAGCCCTGTGAAGGGAGCTGTACAGCCTCATATAGAGAACTGTGAAGGTTTGTTACTGGAAAGATGTCTGAAGTAGCAGCTGCTTCAGACAGCAGAAGGCTGCAGAGGGAGAGTTTTGGGTTCTGTTGCTAGGGTGTTGTGGTGTTGTAATCCAGAGACTTGGATCAACCCTGGGGAGGACACACATGGTATTGGAAGACATGCTGGTGTGCAGATTCTGCCATGGCAGAGACAGGGAAGGTGTGACTGGGCTGCATGTCTTTCATAAGTCCTGTCTATAAGTCATGCTATTCTAGTTGCTTGGCTGAGTAACAAATGACCCCAAATCTAGGGGTGCAAAACAGGATTTCATCATGTTCATTGAATCTTTGGATAGAGCACAGGGAGGATAGTTTTTTTTTTTCTATGAGGCCAGGTATCATATCCAGAAGACTCAAAGGCTGGGACTAGAAACATATGAATGCTGGCTCACTCACATGTCTGGAGGGTGCTTCTGGCTGTTGCTGAGGGTATTTCTAGGACTGTTGCTGTGGACTGAATGATCATGTCTTCCACAAACTTCCATGTTCAAATCTAATCCAGAGTTAGGTGGCATTTGGAGGTGGAGCCTTTGGCATGTCATCAGGTCCGGAGCTAGGAACACTCATTAATGGGTTTACTGCCCTTATAAGAAGAGGTCGGAGAGCTAGCTCATCCTCTTTCCACCATGTGAGGACACAGCAAAATGCAGCTGTCTGTAAACCAGTAAGACAGCCCTCACTAGAACCTGTCCCTCCTAGCATCCTGATCTTGGAATTTCAGCATCCATAACTGTAGGAATAAATGTTTGTTGTTTGAGACACCCAGTTTATGGTATTTTGGTATAGCCGTCCAAGCTGACTAAGCAGCTGTCAAGTGGAATAGCTACACATAACTCCTCCATTTGGCCTGGACTTCCTCTCAACATGGTGGCTGGTTTTCAAAGATAAGCATCTCAAACAGGGATGGCTTCGTGGGTTTGTGTCCTGTGTAATTACACAAGGCTCACACACAGAAGAGGGCTCTGTGCTTGTCACTGTTTTGAAAGTCTTAATTTTGAATAAGGGGCTGCTCATTTTCGTTTTCTCCTGGGTTTCACAAATTTTGTCACTGGTCCATATTAGAGAGAGAGAGAGAGCATGCAAGAAAGAAAGAGAGTGCGGCTGGAGGGGTGGGGGTTAAGAGGAAGTAGCCAGAAGCTATATTGCCTTCTTTTACCTCAACTAGGAAGTCAGGAAGCATCATGTCTACTACACTGTATTTGTTAGAAGCAAGTCATTGAGGTATCCCATATTCAAAGGGAAGATAATAGATTCCACTGCTTGATGGAAGGATGTCAAGGTTCTGGGAGAGTATGTGGGAACATAAATATTGCTATGGCCATTTTTGGAAAATACAATCTGCCACACTTGCTTTGCATATATTTCTGCAGGTGCCACCTACTGGGTTAGTTTTTATTTTGTTTCTTGTGTAATAGAGTGTTAAAATTAAAGTTAGAGACTGAGACACCAAGATAGAATTGATGTGATATTCCAAAGCCAGTTCACAGTATGTGAAATTTACATTCCACGACTTGAATCCCCTCAACCATTTTCAGAATGAAAAGAGTTGACGTGCAGGAGAATTTTGAAATAATTTCTTTGGAAAGATCAGTTACTCCATTCTGGTTTACCCCATGTTTAGTAAGGGAGACCTCCAAGAGTCCATTTGGAAAGTTTTGAATTATATTCCTTCAAGCTAGGAGCAATTCATGCTGTAAAAAGTCAAAGAAGATAAGACAAGAAAGGCAAGAGGATAAGGCATTATCTTTATTTTTTATTAATAATCTTGTATGTTATTAAAATTTTGTATTTATTTTTTTTATTTAAATTAACAGCTTTATCTTATTAAAATTAGTGATCTTGTTGTATTTATTTATTTATTTTTGAGACAGAGTTTCGCTCTGTTGCTCAGCTTGGAATGCAGTGGCACAATTTTGGCTCCCTGCAACTTCCTTCTCCAGGGTTTAAGTGATTGATTCTCCTGCCTCAGCCTCTGTAGTAGCTGGCATTATAGGCGAGCATCACCATGCCCAGCTAGTTTTTTTGTGTGTTTGTTTTTAGTAGAGACGAGGTTGTCACCATGTTGGCCAGGGTGGTCTTAACTCATGACCTCAAGTAAACTGCCTGTCTTGGCTTCCCAAATTGCTGGAATTGCAGGTATGAGCCACCATGCTCAGACTAAAATTCATGTTTTTAAATGGTAATTTAATCAGTAAGGTATTTATTATTGCTACATAAAACAGACTTAGATAGGGGCTTCTATGGTTAGGGAAATTTGTAATTTGTAGGCTCAGCAGATACATCAAAAGGACGACAGGAGATCACATGCACAAAAAATATGCACCTTTGCAAGAAGCCCAGACTACGCACTCCTTGAGGCCCCTTGACCATTGCCAAGTCTCCTCAAAGGTGTTAGGGAGGAATCTGTTCTAATCATCCCAGGACAATCCTGAATCCTCTCCAGAAAAGGGGAAGGGAGGTCAGGGAGCTGCTTTGCCTATGCACATGCAGATGACCTTCACAAATATTGAATCCAGGCAGAATGGAGAGATTATATCTTCAGATTTCAAAGAGCAAAGGAGTATTTTCTGTGGACTAGATATATGTGGGGTTATTGGGCAAGTGAGTCAGTGTGGATCTTTTTATGAATTTGTCCAAAGGCCCTAGATGATAGAAGGACTGGAAGACAGAATTTGAAGTTAATATCAGATAAAGGCTAAAGAAGGACTCATGAGTAACTCCTAACTAACCATTCTGGTTTGCCTGGATCTCAGAAGTTTCACAAGATGTGGAACCTTTAGGCTAAAATGGGAATTTTTCTGTGGGGATGGTTGGTCACCTTACTTACCTTAGGCCACCCATAATAGGATGTATTAACCCTGGATGAGACTACAGGGTGGGGGCCAGGCAGGGACCCTACAGGACGCCTGTGAAAGTGCCCATGAAAGAAAAACTCATCTGCAAACATTTGCCAGGCCTGAACAGCCCAAAGCTGGTACAAGAAGGACATTTCCTGCTCCTTTACCATGTCTCTCTTCTAGCTCTGGCCTTAACCCAGAAACTGGCTAGCAAGCTGCGGGGACAGCACAGAATTGGGGAGGGAAAACACCAGGTGGGGAATAAAGAATAAGCCATCCACAGTGGAGCAGTCCAGGAACAGGAACGGGAGAAGGTTCAGTGCTAAATCAGTTTCGGTTTCTGGTTATGTAAGATGTTCTGATTACTGAATTCCACTCACTGTTACTAAAAGGATTGTAGGATGTTCTTGTCCTCACATACACACCCAAGAGTATCTAGAAAAGTCCTGGGATGCACCTGAATGTTCAACTAGGGGCAAGGGAAGGTTAACTCCACTGAACACGTGAAGGGGAGTGCTGTGATTTTATGATGGGTTGTGCTTGTTCAATATACTTCTTATACTTGAAATTTCAAAAATCCTGCTCCAAAGAGAAGTGTCAAATAGCATGTCAAGGAAATAACTTGTTGATTCCTCTACTTTGTAAGGATTATGCACTTTCTATGAACTCTTTAAAATTCCTCAAATGATGAATTTAAGTTAAATTCACTCAGTCTCTAATGGCTATCAAACATCAAATACTTTCCTCTTCCCTAGGCTGGAGGCTTAAGGACTCCAGGAACTAAACATCAGATTTTCCACAGAGAATTGTGGGTTGATTTGTTCTTTGGGATGATTGTCAGATATTATTTATCTTCCTTTACCCTCACTGTTCCCCTCAATCAGATGAACCCACCTGCTATGGCTACCTGTGCTCAGCTCATCTCAGCACAGCTGCTTCCACTGGGGTCCTGACCCTCATGAAGTGCCCCTTTCGCAGGCACTGGCTTGTCAGTGCTGCTACTTATTTCCATCCAGCCCTGTGCCATCCATACCTGGCACCCAGTCTCAAGAGCTGATGCTGATTCTCTGGTCTCTTTGGACCAATCCGTTAGATGCTTCTGACTCAGTTGCTCAGGATTTCTGTGTTAGAAAGAAACTGCCTGGGAACTGCTTCTTGATTTTTCTGGATCAGGCTTCTGGTCTTAACTCTGTTAAAACTCTTGATATAATCTTAGACAGTTGTTTTAACCTCTGCAAGCCTCAACTGGGATAACAATAGTTGTGTTGCCTAGGGATACAGTGAAGAAATCAATTAGTAGATGTGAAAACGCCTTGTAAAAGTTAGGGAGTAAATATATGCATAGTAGTGCATATATATGCATTACTACAATCTGGTTACCATGCTGGAGTTGGGATTTCCGATATTATTACCCTTAACTTTACCCTTCTCCATCATTATGGCATCTCTTGGCTTTTTGCTTAGATCCTTGATCTTCAGGACCTGATGTGCTGAATGTTAATATCCATCTGCTCACTGAGATGATCTTACCAGGCTCGATGTCATCCTGTTGCATCATACAAAGGTCATTTTCTTGCTCTCTTTCAATTCCAGGGGAGCCACCTGAGCCTTCTCTCTTTATTTTTCTTTCTGACCTAATCTCCTATGGAGACCTGTGCAATTCCAGTTCAACCAACACTCTGCTCTTTTCTTCCTTCACAACTATCAAGCAGAGGAAACCGAAGATGTTCCAACATGTTCTGGAAGCCAGGTGAGGAGAGTTTTTTTTAAGAGGGAGTGAGTGAAAAGTTCTGTCAAATGTCAAACTGTTTTCAAGGAAGATGAAACCTGAGAATTGACCATTGGATTTAGTAATGTGGAAGTTACTGGTGAGCTCGAAAAGAGCAAATTTGGGAAAAAAAATAAAATAAATTTCAATTAAAGTAGGTTCAACGGTGAGCAGGAAGAGCTAGATTAAGAGGAAATTTTTTTTTTTTTTTTTTTGAGATGAAGTCTCACTCTGTTGCCCAGGCTGGAGTGCAGTGGTGCAATTTCAGATCACTGCAACCTCCACCTCCTAGGTTCAAGTGATTCTCCTGCCTCAGCCTTCCAATTAGGTGGGACAGCAGGCAGGTGCCACCATGCTAGGCTAGTTTTTTTGTATATTTTAGTAGAAATGGGGTTTCACTGTGTTGCCCAGGCTGGTCTTGAACTCCTGACCTCGTTATCTGCCCTCCTCTGACTCCCAAAGTTCTGGTATTACAGGCGTGAGCCCCCATGCCCAGCCTGTTGTTTTTGTTTTATTTTGTTTCATTACTTTTTTTTTCTTAAGGTAAGGAAAATAATGGGCAATAGCTGGAAAGACAATAGGATGATGAAAGGTTTTACTAGGCAATACAGACAAAAAGGAGAGACTACGTTGATAAGACAGGAGAGAGGAAAATTGCTGGAACAATGACTTGAGTAGGTTAGAGCAGATGAGATCTAGTGCCATACTAGGGGCTGGCCTTCAGAAATTCGGATGGCTCAACTATATCGCAAGAAAAAAGGTGGAACATGTATACACATATGCATAAATGGAGGAAATGGAGGATTTCTTCTGATTGCTTCAGTTTTTTCAGTTACACAGGAAGCAAGGCCATCAGCTGGGCATGAGGATGGAGGAGGAGGTGTTGGAATCTGAGAAGAGAGAAGTTAAGAAATTACCACATTGGAGAGTAGAACAGTAAATTATCTAGGGAAATACAGTATAATTGCTAGGCAGTGTTAATCACCCCTATAATGTTAATGATCATGAATCTATATTAATGTTACTAGTGGAATTTTCACTAGATATATTCATTTGTGTGAGTGTAGTCACAACGTAGGCAGAATGCCAAATTTAACTACGGTTTGGCTTTATCCAAGAGAGTCTGATGAACAAGAGTAAGGCAGAGAAGATGGGGGCATATTTAAGGGAGTGATTATAATGAGTGACCACGAAATTGAAACAAGATGATGACCGAGTGAGTGAGGCTGCAGGAAAAACCAGCAGGATCAACAGATTGAAGATGGCAGGATGGATTTAGCCAAGTGGCTAATTAAGGAAGAGAGGTCCAGGCAGATTGTAGATGTTGGTGAGGTGGGGATGGGGGACTATTGGAAATGAGTTGAAAAAATAGCAGTTATTGACCAGAAAAGCAAGCCACTTAAAATGGATGTTATGGAGGGTTTGCAGTTATGGTAAAGGTACAAGGGTTTATCCATGAGAATGTGTGGCCAGGGTAAAGAGGAGGACAGGATCTCTAGAGGTGAGGAGGCCAAGGAACTGAGAGAGCATCATCCATAGGAATATTGAACTCACTAATAGGTAGGAGAGAAGTAGAGGTAAACAGAGTGAAAGATTGGCAACAAGTAACCAGTGCTGGTGACAGTGGAGTCCCTGGGTATAGATGACCTCAACAGACCCTGTCACTTCCAGAATGCATGCACATCCGGCTTAAAATGTTCTGGTCATTCCACACACGCAAGTGGATAACGAGGGACCATTCTTTCATGCTCATGTTCTTATTCTCACCATTATTCTTTTTCAGTTGTAGTTCAGCTCATGAATATTAGAGAAGAAAAAAAATAGGAAAGGATATGAAGTGATGATAATTCAGTTGGTTTAGTCCTGCTGAGTAATTAATTTCAAAGTGGGGTTTTGGAACCCCTGGGGTTCCGTAAGACCTTTTTCAGGTTATAACTATTCTCCTAATGATACTAAGATGTCATTGGCTGTTTTTGCTCTTTTTGCCTTGTGTTTTCCAGAAGCTAGACAGCATACAATAGCAAAATATGATCATAAAAACTGAGTACAGAAGCAAACATGAGAATCTACCTGTCTTCTGTTAAGTCAGCAATTAGAGATTTCAAAACATGTAAAACAATGCCATGTTTCTCGTTATTTTTTGCTTTGGAAAATACAATCTTTTTCATAAAAATATTTATGTTAACTTGTAATGGTACTATTCTTTTAACTTAAATGGATAAAACAAAAATTTAGGACTTTCTGTTTAATTTTGGATATGCGAAATGTTAATAGGTATAGCCTGCATAAACAAAAGTCCTTTGGGGATAGTCAATTTTTAAGAGAGTTCCAGAGACCAGAAAGTTTAAGAAGCTCTGATTTTTGTCACTCGCTAGAAGGTGAAGACTGGGAAGGCTGAGAGGTTGGACATATAGAGAGTAGTGGGGCTGAAGAGTCCTGCATGAGCACTTCTAACCACTGTGACCTGCAGTATGTGGTAACATCAGCTCCCTGAGGCTCTAGCAGGGGACATGCGCATGAAAGTTTCATAAAGTTTCTCTCCCAGTTACGAAAGTTCTCCTTACTTTGACTCTCACTAGACGTATTTATTGAATCAGATTGTTATGAAAAATTGAACAATAAATCAATCTGTATAAGAAAATGGCATATCTTTGCAGCTTACTTTTCTTTTCTTTTTTTTTTTTGAGACGTTGCTCTTGTTGCCCAGGTTGGAGTACAGTGCCGCCATCTTGGCTTACTGCAACCGCTGCCTCCCGGGTTTAGGCGATTCTCCTGCCTCAGCCTCCTGAGTAGCTGGTATTACAGGTGTGCGCCACCATGCCTGGCTAATTTTTTGTATTTTTAGTAGAGATAGGGTTTCACAATATTAGCCAGGATGGTCTCGATATCCTGACCTTGTGATCTGCCCGCCTCCACCTCCAGAAGTGCTAGGATTACAGGCATGAGCCATGGTGCCCGGCCTGCTTTACTTTTTTGATTATGAAAGCAATACATGTCACTGTAGAAAATTCTGAAAAGCATTAAGAGAATAGGAGTTAGTTATAATTTTACCTCCCAAAGAGAATGAGTTAGCTTACTACCTGTTTTCTTCTGTCTCTATTTTTAAAAACAAATATGTTATCATGCTGTATATATCATTTGAAATTATTATGTTTAATGGAGCAAAATATCCTGTTTGAATTATATAATAATATATTTAGCCAATCTGCCTATAGTTGGTTAGATGTGAAAAGATTCTCCCCCTTTTCTCCTCTTTTATAATGAATGTTTGAATATGCTTTTCTCTCTATCTCTCTGGATTACTTTATTCTGCACACGCACACACACTCACGCCAAGAACTATATATATGCAGTTGTCTACATCACTGGTTCAAAGCATTCATTTTGCTGAAGGAAATAAATAATGCAAAGTTAGAACTTTCTTAAAAAATTGATATATTTGACGTTACTGATATTGTTAAATTTATTAGCAATTCCAAGTGCCATTGTAGATTTTTAAAAAATTGATTTAATAAATCTAAATTTTATTTGATAAATTAATGGATAAAAAGGATTTTGAAAACGAAGACATAATTGAAGACGAATAGTGGTGACAGCAGGTTTTAGAAGATATTGTAAAACAAGAATAATTAAAACGGCATGGCTTTATAGGAAGGATTGACAGATAAAGGAATGAAATTCCTAGGAAATATTATCTAGCATATATAAAAATTTAGTATATGATTAAAAGGAGTATCACAAATAAGTAGTGTCACTAATGAATATTCAATAACTTATGTGAAAATATCATTAACTCTGTGGAAAGAAGTAAATAAAAACAAAAATGCAAATCCAATTTCTGGTTATTGAGATAATTAGAATAAAAGATGTATGGTGCCATCTAGTGGTTAAATATGTAATTGCACACATATTGTTCTATGTAGCGTCTAATGGCAGAAATTTAAAGCGGATGGAGACTTGAAGGGAGGTAAATTATTCATTAATAAAAAGGTTTACATCTCACACTTCAGCACTAATTTAAGAAAACATTTTTAAATACTGACTGTTTCAGAGAATACTATAAACTGCAGCCTATATAGTGATCCTGCATGAACATACAAGATATTGCAGTTCCAGACATTCACATAAACAAGCATGCCAACCTGTCAGATTTTTTTTAGTAACACAATGAAACAAAAGAACAATTTGAGTAAAAGTGTGCTGATTGAAAATTCATATATGAGAGCAGAATCTGCCAGCAGTTATAGTTTTGAATAAAGAACACCAGGGGAGCAACCTGTCCTGTGGCCCATGGGGCCTAAGGGAGGGCCGGAGCCTGCCCTGGGCCAGAGGCCAGTGCGGGTGGGTAGTTCCTGGGCTTGGTGGAGACTGCACCTCTCCCTGCTGGCCTCAGGCACAAGCTGCACAAATGCAGTCATCTCCGTACTGGGTCTGTGCCTTCAGTCTTCCCATTGATGAAGGCTGCTGCAAGGACACATGGCTAATCTAGAGAGCAGTCCTGCCTTCCATCTCTGGGAACGCACCCTCTTTCCCATCCAGTGGCTGCAGCAGCAGCTGCCCTGTTGGATTGCACAGAGCTTCCTGGCCCCAGCTCCTCGGTCCAGAGATGAGCTCCTAGACTAAAGCTGGGCCTGTAAGTCCTCTTCCTTGGAGTGTTGAATTTGGAAACAAGAGAATTGGGCCAGTCTATCTCTGGATTGTCAAGACTGGGAGCTTAAAACTCAGAAGCTTTGGGTGTCCATTAGTGTAAGCTGGAGAAACAGAAAGAGCAAGTGGAGAGGATGAAGCCCAAAGAAGCAGCAGCGGGCGATGAATGAGGCAGCACCACTGTGTTCCCCTCCGCTCTGTTGCTTCACTCCATTTGGATGCTCACTCTTCGGATTCCTCGGATTCCCAGTATTCCTCAGATAAGCCTTTCCTTTTGCTGAAGCAAATGTAAATGTTTTTCTGTCCTCTACATTCAAAAGTCTGCCGATAAATCT